ATTCTTTGATAATATTGCATCAAGTGACATAATGCGCGGCACGAACGAAAACTCGTCCACGGGTGCATCAAGCCCTGGGTCAGTGATGCTTACCACAAGCCGAGAGGTCGTGGGTTCAAGTCCCATATTGGTATGGTTTTAATTTAGGTTTGTCCTTCGAAGAGGACAGAACAAAGCACCTTAATTGCTATTTTAAATAATACAATTTTTGTTATTGTTATGCTTATTTTTATTATTTTTATACATATTTGTAATTTTGTCTCGTAATTGGAAAAATTATTGTTATTATTATTAAATATTATTATAAATACAAATTAAGCATATTTAGGTGTAAAAACTCAAGAACTCAAGTTTACAATGTTGTTAGATTTAAAATTATATTACATAGTGTTGGGTTGGGTTATGTTATATTGAAATTTATAACTATATAAGGGACCATTAAAAATTAAAGATTGCTCTTTAACCCTTCGATCGGTGATAGTCCAAAGATCGGTAAACTCCTTTAAAGGGACCTTTAAGGTGACAGATTATAAGTATGCTGGTGTGTTCAAAATTTGTGATTTTGTGTGTAGTGCCAATATATACTATAGTATTGGTTTTGTATGTTATAATAGGGTTAATGTATGCGGTATGGCCGGTAGCAGATCTAATTGATGGGCATGTTTAGCACAATTCTGACTGACAAATACACATTTAAGATTTTAAGATTTCTCACTATCTCTCCCTTAAATTATATCGAAGGTCCGTAGGGACTTTATGCTGTGTTAAACCCAATAAAAATGGCGAACAAGTGCTCGAATCGGTACAAAACTTGTTTTAATCGATACAGCATCTTGTTTTAAGAGAAAACATGTAGGAAGACATTTTTATATCAAATTTTTCAACATGACCCTGAGAGTTATTGTCAAAAAAATGTGGCAAAAGTTGCCTGACTTAATTTTCACTAGAGCCTCTGAAAAACTATATATTTTTACTATAAAAATATATTTATTACTTATTTATCTCTATATTTTTAAATGGTGTCAATAAGAATTGGAAATTCAGGCTGTGCTTGAACGTATAAATTATAACTGCTTGACTGCAAAATCAGAGTTTCAAGATTTTAATCAATTTCATATAATTATTACAGAGGGAATTTGACTATAATTATAATTAATAAACTGTAATTTTAGTTATTCTTTTTTTTATATAAAGTTTATGTCTAAAATTAAAAAAAAACTGTTCTTGAAATGTAGAGTAGACGAAGATTCAGTGGCTGACCAAGCCCGTCTGCTCATAAAATAATGTGTTAATTTTGTAAATAAATATGAATGTATTGACAAAAAAAATCTGTTTGTGTGTGTGCCAGATACATGTATATTTAGGTGTGTATATGTCTTTAAACAGGTATAAGAGTCAACACAGCAAGAAAAAAAAATAAAACAAAAAATGAATTATAAATAATTTTTATTTAAAAAATAAACTCGATAATTATTATAATATTAATAATACCTAGTTTCGTATCCTTACATGGATTGTTAACCAATTGGTCCTATTACTACCAACTATTATATATATTTGACAAGTAAAAGTAGTTTTACAAATTTGTATACTTAATTTTTTTGAATATTTTGCATATTTAACAAGTAATTATTAATTATTTAGCAATTGTCAACATACTGTAGCTTTGTTTTAAGTAAGTTATACAAATATATATATATATAAATTAGCAAATCCCCATATTTTAAACATGCAAAAATAATTCAATATCAGAAGTAGCTGCCATTAACAATCTTTTTAAAAAACCTAAACCAATTTTTATGAACGAAAAAGTAAAAGGAACAAATTTTCATCAAAAGGTCGGGGTAAAAACAACGAAAATCGCCTACTCCGTTAAATAATTAAATGCCACTTCAAGTGCAATAATATATATTGTCCCATACTCTTAGAATTGAAACATTATACGCTCGAAAACAATGAACAAAGTAAGCTTTGGTTACACTAGTTGAACAATTAAATTATTGTACCACTAAAGGAACAATGGAAAAGAAGCAAAAAGCAATAATTGTTAATATTGCCCCGCTCGCGTGCCAAACAAATGCTGTTTATAATCGACTATTTTCTTAACTTGTTGCAAAATATACTTTATTTTGTAATTGTAATTTTTTTAAATTACATATCATTTCAATTACAGATCTTGAAAACTGTTTACATATATTCTCCTCCAGTTTTACTGTTTAAAATAATATTAATATTAATAATAATAATAATAATAATAATAATAATAATAATAATCTTTATTGTATATAAATTAATGTTGCGTACAAATGGAGGACGGTTAGGTTTCCCTTTCTTCCACCGTCTCCGAAATTATAATAGTTAACAATTACAAAACTGAAAATAATGAATTTCAAATATTAAAAAAAGAATATTTAAAGTTTGGAATAAAAATTCCAAATACTTTAAAACTCTTGAATCTAACAATATCAGTGAAATATTTTAAAATTATTTAAAAGCTGAGGAAGTTATGTTTAATCATAAATCAATTTTGTTACATTTAATCTTTTCCGGGATATAATTTTATTGCACATGGGTACGTCAAAAAAATAAATTCATCGGTTTTTATTGCTAATATATAAGGCATGCACCGAGGCGTGTTGGTCGTTTGGCAGAATAAAACTGGGATGTTTAAATAGTGAAAACCAAGCATTAAACGTGACATAAATAAAATAGAAGACAATCTCTTTTTATGGGTTATTTATTACGCGCAATGATAACGTTATTGATTTGAAATGTCTGTTACATGTATATATCTGGATAACATTGTTTTTTACTTATAAAAAATAAATACATACAAACATGTCAATTGTTTATTATTTATATATTTATTTATAATTTTGTTTATTTATTTTATTTGTTTTATACAACATTTAATTAGTGAGGTGAATATGTAATATAGAAGGTGGGGTACATTTACTGAATAAACTTATATCTTTAAACATATATACATATATGTTACTTTAATATTAATACAAAATTAGATGCAAAAACAGTTTTACTTTAAAAACCACAACAGAAAAGTATATTCTTTCATACGAACTAAAAATTAAAATATTTCGTACAAAATCACAATTACATATGGGTATTTCCCCAAACCTTACCCCACCTCGACAAAAATTCATATATGTTATTTAACAAAACAAAAACTATATCAGAAGTCGAAAACAGCTCGAGGTGTTTCAGCCTTGGGATGATTATAAGGAGCTTTTGGAGCTATCAATTATTTTTCTTGCGGATATCCCTCCCAATGGAATTAGTTTTAACCCAGTAAACACATACACGTTTTTTAAACGTATTTAAAAACGTGGCCATAGCGAAAGAGATAAATGTTCTCCAAAATTTAAGATTGAGCCACTTTCTCAATTGAAAACGGATAGAACAAGTACAATTTTTTCATATGATTAGAAAAAACAATTAATAATAATAATTAATTGATAGCAAATATCAGTATCTCTTAATTTTTGAGAAAACATTATTCATTAAATGAACCAACGTATAATCGTAAATATGTAAATATAAAAACAACTATGTTTGAAAGTGTGTCGTGATTTATTTAATTTTTGACAATTGTTTCGTCACACAGTGACTTCTAATACAATGAAAGAGAATGATGATGGAGAAACCTAATTTATTGTAGTATAATATATTCTTATTGTATGAATAATTATAATTTTATAAAATTAATTTAATAAAGGTGAATTATTGGTCTCAATTTGATCATTTAATACTATATCGGGTCTTTTTATTTCCAGAGATTCTAATAAATTTAATATTCCTTTACTTTCTACATGTAAAATTTTAAAATTATTATCAAAAGTATGGTTTTCTTGAATTAGGTGGTTGGCGTAAGCTATTTTATTATTCTATTTTATTATTATTTAAAGATCTCCTATGTTCGTTAATTCTTGTTTGTCCTATATAGGTTTTAGGGCAATCAGAGCATGTTAATTGGTAGACTTCTTATGTTTGTTAGATTTGTATTTATTATTAAATTTAATTCATTATCAAAATCTGTTTTTGACAGTGGTATATTTAAAAGTCTATGGATCATTGAATTAAAGGCTGATCTTTTTTGAGACCAAGGATGTGAGGATTAATTATGAATAACTATGTCTGTGTAACTAGGTTTATGAAATATTTTAAATATGTGATAGCCATTACTTTTTTGTATTGTAAGATCTAGGAAATTAATTTGGTTGTTTTGTTCTTCTTCTATTGTAAATTTAATATTTGAATGAATGTCATTTATAAAATTTAAAAAAAAATATTTTTTTGTCTTTTTGTGCCTGTGAAGCAAGGTAGGATATCATCAACTTATCTGTACCAATATAGAAAATATTTGATCTGTGGGTTTTTGTGGATAATTAGTTCTAACTGATTGACAAAGATATCTGCAAGTAGTGGACTAAGTGGGTTACCCATGATTAAACCATTATGACTGGTTATTAAACTAAAAATAATTTTGTTTAATGCAATTTTCTAAAGTATTTAAAATGTATTTTTTAATAACGGGATTAATTTTATTTCGATCTAAAAGTTTTTGGATTATATCGAAAGTTTCCCGTGGTGGCACACTAGGGAATAAATTTGTGAGGTCAAAAGAAATTAATATAGCATTGTTAGGTAATGGAATATCTTTGATGTTTTTAATTAGTTCGAATGAATTTTTAATGCTAGTAAAGGTCGAAACAATTAAATATAAATACTACTACTGTGGATAAATATAAAATTTAGCCATCTCATTGGACACTGGACAATTATTATTATAATAATAATAATTATTATTGTTATTATAACCCGTTAAGAAAGAGATCAATTTTCTCCACAGTTTAAGACTGCAGTGGCTCATGTGCCACTTTTTTTTACTTAAAAATCTATAATAAATACATAAATAAGATAATGTAGAAATAAAATAAGGTTTTTAAAGTATTTAAAATTAATATATATTTTTTTTGTTTTAGGTAGTAGAATTTTCATCCATAATATTGTGATGTAAGTATATTTTCGTATTAGCACTCTTGTCATATCAAACTAAATTCTTAACTTTTTCAATAATCGAGTCGATTGACTTGTCGAAGTTTCTGGTAATTAACTAAAGAGAATTACGTGCAGTTGAACCCACCGGGACACTTCTGAACGAATTTAAGAAATTGAAATTGTCCGACGGCAAAGCATTTGTTTTTCATCGAATTACCACTGAGCTGGGTGTGCAGAAAACTGCCAATTAAAAGGCCTAATATAATATTGTAACGATTTTACTGTTCGTGGTGTGAATTAAAACACGCACTGCTTTATTAACGAACTACACGATTTATTTTAAAACTTAATTACACTTAAAACACTAAGAAACTAACTAAACACTTAACTACTAATTATTTATATAACACTACTGTACAAGGGTCTATTTACTTACACGTATATTTATTTTATTTCGTCGCGAGTAATAAAGCTTGACTGACTGCTCCATGCTGCGCTGTTCCTTATATATTCAGTGCCTACGTGACACTAGTCACGCAAGCGTCTTCTCGAACATTCCAGCGAGCTCCGGACCGCTCTCGATCGCTCGAACTCTGACTCACCGTTGATGACTCATCGTCCATGAGTCATCATTCCGAGATATAGGGGTACTCGCTACAATATTCTAGTGTTTTTGCAACTATTAAATAAAAATTAAGTTTTTTTTACTTTCAGTTTACAGTTAGACAAAAAAGAAATACAATTATTTTTATGTTATAATCAAAGGGTTACGTGGATTTTAGAAAATTTTTAGGTAGTTTTAAGTAATTTAAACTGTTTAAGGGCATTTTTTAACGGTTTAAGGATATATTATAATTTTTTTATAATTTGATTTGATTTGGCCAGAAAAATATACTTAATATATTTTAATATAACATACTATATCAAATGCCGAAGAGCTAATAACCATGGTAGTCTATGCTCCAAATCACAAAAAAAATAAATGGTATTATTATATCTTGTAATAATAATAACAACAATAAAAATAATAATAAACCTTGATTAAATAAATGCATCTCATTTTAATTTAAAACAAATATTATATTATTTATTATTATTATAAGATATAATTATCCCATTTATTTTTTTTGTAAATTGGAGCATAGACTACCATGGTTATTAGCTCTTCGACATTTGATATAGTATGTTATATTAAAATATATTAATTATATTTTTCTGGCCAAATCAAATCAAATTATAAAAAAAATTATAAAATATCCTAAAACCTTTAAAAATACGTAATACTAATTGTAATAATAATAACAACAATAAAAATAATAATAAACCTTGATTAAATAAATGCATATTATTTTAATTTAAAACAAATATTATATTATTTATTATTATTATAATTAGTATTATTATTATTATATTTAAACGTAGGTTTAAACAAACATTGATTTTTAATCTGATATATTTGTGTTAAAGTTAAAAAATTTAAATCTTGTTTGGCCAAAGTTTTGGAAAACCTTTTCATCTAAGTTTAAGTTAAATAAATTTATTATTATATTAAATATAAACTATTGTATTTATATTTTTTAAAGTAACCTAAAAATTGTTAATTATAAAATTTAAGTTAATCCTAAGATTATTATACTTAAGATTGAAACATTTTCTCTAAAAATAAATGAATTATAACACTATTTATGTATGTATTAGGGTGCCCAATTTTATTTAAAAACAATTTTGAAAAAAAAAATCTTCATATGTTGCTAATAAATAGACATGCAACTATATATATATATAGACATATTTATTGGAAATGTTACGCTTTACAAAAAAGATAAATATATATTTTTTTATTATTTATTTATCTTTTATATTTTATGATTTTTTCGTAAAATCATCCATTTAAATAATAATAATAATAAAGTTAAAATTTTAAATAAAAAGTATTGTCATTATCTTTTTTTCTGACTTGGTCTTTTTTCACTTGAGTTACTTTCATAATTTTTTTTGTTTAAAGTCTTAAAAATTTTGAAAAAAAATGTCGTTCAAGCCTATATTTTAAATTTTGACCAAAATCATTTAAATGGATGAACATAAAATACCTTTTTGTATAGCGTAAAATTTTCCACAAAAATTTATCTTGTGTATGTATATTAATAAGCGAGTTATAAGGCATTTATAATGTTAAAAAAAATTTAAATAAAAATTTAAAGTATCTTCGATATCGAATTTTTTTTCAAAATTATTTTGAAACTGTTATTAAATAATTAAGATTATACCCAAGTAAAAAAGCAACAAATTAAAGTCAACTTAAGAAACAAGAAAGCTGTTTAACACAGCGAAAAGAACGGGAGGATGGGACTTATACAGACACCGCCTAACCGAATACAACAATGCCATCAAAACAAAAAAAAATATTTTTTTATTTATTTCAAACATTGACTTCCGATATTATTAAAATGGCATAAAAGAAACACGCAGTCAAATTGAAGTTATGTAAATCATAAAATTTTTTAACCAGTTTAAGGTGCGCAACATTTATTTAAGAAAAAGTAATACTAAAATTATCATTATATCGTAATACATTTCAATTATTACTCGTCGATATAAATATCAATTTACCTGTTTAAAATTAAAGTGATCAAATTATTCGACGCTCAAATATTTTGCACGTAATATTTGTTTTAATATTTAAATGATTTCATTATTACTTAAAGTTTTATTTGAACAATAAGAATTGAATACAATTTTATTTCTATTATAATTTTTATAAATTTTAATAATTACTTTCAATACGAATTATTTTGTTGTTTAAAACAAAAATAATTTTTATTCGGGAATAAAGTTTTCGTATAATTCTGTGGGTAAAAGGCATAAGGGGATAAGTCAAAAAAGCAATTTTTCAGTAGAGCCTTTAACGTGTTCGCAATAATTCAGGAAATATATTTATGTTTAGCGGGTATACGCTTTTGTTAGCATATGACATGTGCTAACAAAAGGGTATACCCGCTAACCATAAATATGTTTCCTGAATTAATGCAAATACGTTTAAGGCTCTACTGAAAAATTGCTTTTTTTGACTTATCCCTTTATGCCTTTTACCCACAGAATTGTTAATAATTATCATTTAATAATTATTATGTTTTTTTAATCTAGTAATCGGAATTTTTATTTAAGCACTTTTCTGTCATATTTATATATTTTATTCAGATTATTTTTTTAGATAATAAATTCAATGCAATTTGTATGTGACAAAATAATAATTCCTTATTTTTATTTTTTGGAATAAATACTAATATCTCAAATTTTCTGACTGAGAAATTCGCTGAATTTAAATTTTGGTTAACAAAATTCAAATTGGTGCTAGTGCAAAGTGCGGTTGTGTTAGGTACTACTGCCACCAAGCGAAATCACATAACGTTTAAGGTACTATGCTCCACACATCAAAGTCCCACCACGTGACTACGTACGGAACGCAGTCTTTTGAAAATTTGGCGTTTAAGGCTTTTCAGGTTATGTATCTGTGAAAATATAGTCAACGAAAGAAATAATATTATGTTTAGGCTTTAAAAATGTATAAATCTTTATAACATTACAATAACAATGGTTGGTTTAAGAATTTACGAATATAAATACTGCATTTAATGAAATTCTAAAGTGTATGGTGCCAAATAAGTAATATTTTTGTGCATTTGGTCCAAATATCTGGTTTTCTCCATAAAATAATTTTAACTTTATCTGTATTAAAGGTAGGTTAATATATATTATAACAAACATATCATCTAATTTTGTAATTTTAAGGTTAGAAAAATTTATTTTGACCAAAATAAATAAGTATTTTGGATTGACTGTATAAAACGGTATTAAAAAATGTTGTATTTTTTCTAATCCACCTTAAAGTGTACCTACATACAGTTTTGTCAATACAAATAGTTATAAAGCTTCGACTGAATTTGATTTACATCGAAAAATTTTAATAAATCTCATGTCATGGGAGTATTAATTATTTTCATATTGAAGGTTTCTCTAAAAATTGTTTGTTATAATCTAACTTAAAGTAGGTATGCCGAGAGGTATGCACAAGTTTAGTCGTTAGAAGTATAAAACATTGAATTTAATTTGAACCATATTCAACAATTATTTAGTACTATACCTAGTAGTATACCTATATTTATTTATCACCATATTAACACACTTTTCCAAATAATCCACTTATTTATTTTGGTCAAAATAGATTTTTATAACTTTAAAATACAAAATTATATGATATTTTTTGTTCTAATCCTACCTTTGAAACAGATATTCTTATTCCATAATGGAGAAGTTAGATTTTTTTTAATAAATGAGGTTTAGTTAAAACTATTTAATGGAGAAATGTGGAACTAATGCACAAAAATATCACTTATTTGGCACCATACACTTTAGAATTTCATTAAATGCAGTATTTATATTCCTAAATTCCTTAACCAACCATTGTTATTGTGATACTATAAAGATTTATTAACTTTTAACGCCTAAACATAAGCGGTAACACTATAAATATTATTTCTTGCATTGACTATACTTTGACAGATACATAACCTGAAAAGCCTTAAATGCCATATTTTCAAAAGACTGCGTTCCGTGGTCACGTGGTGGGACTTTCAGGTGTGGAGCATAGTATACTATGCTATACTATGTATACATAAGCTCGAAAATAAATTAGTACCGGTGCATTCAAATTCAGTGCTGTCATTTTATTTTTGTTATTTTACTTACCCACCTGTTTTGATTTCCTTAATTTCTTACCCAATTTATTAATTTATTGAAATAAATTTAAGGAAAATCTTTTTTACTAAAATAATAGTTTTTATTAACTAAAATATAAAAAACTATACCATTATTTCAATCCACCATTAATTACATTAATTACATTTATGTTAAGTTTATGGATTATTTTCAATTACGTCTTATTACTGTACAGGTACTCGGCTCGGACCGAGATACACGAGAAGGACAATTCTGGTAATTATATTAATATCTTCTTT